TATTTTTAGCTGATTATTAAAGAGTTTGCAACATGCACAGAAAATCCTTTAAGCTTTCCCATTATCTATCTCCCAAGCACCAATAGCAGACCCTCTAGCGCCAGATGTACTGACTTCAAGGCCACTCAAGACATAGTTTATGTAAGCATAGCACAATCTTACAATGGTGTAGTTTATGGCCTGTGCAAGGACAGCAAGGACCAGCCAAGAATTCATGACCCCGACTAAATCGTCTCTATTGGACTAACAAACATGTGGGAAGTCACATAGGCGAGTGCACAACACATAGCACAGACCCTTTCTCAGTGCTACTCGACTTTATCGACCTAAGCCTCTTGTTCGGCTACTCAGCCTTTAAAGGAGGCACAAGTCAGGGCCTGGTTTGGTCCTCGTCTCAAGCCTTACCATGGCCTCCCACAAGTTGGCATGTAAAATGACCCATTACGAGTACCATAGATATCCCTCCCGATTAATCAGTCTTGTCCAGAGGACATCAGAGAAGTCGTTAGTCATTATTGTGGTTGATGTGTCCTTTGTATTTAACAGAGGGATGTTTTTCACAAACTCTTTGCTACTTTTGGGCTGCAGTAACACAAAATGGTCAGCAGTGCTCATTCTGGAGTGAGGAAAAATCATGTTCGAGTCCCAGGTCGAGTGTATTAGCTATTTGGACAAGTGACTTCTCAAGGCCCCAGTTTACTTCTCTTTGGTGAAGGTGCTTAACAGCAGTCTGAAAATGCATCTGTTTAGGAGGACACGCAGCAAACAGTACACACTCAGTTAATCTATTAGTTGCTATTATTGCTTAGCCCTACTCTCTTCTAATTATGACCTGGGAGATGACCAGCTGGTTGTAATTCATACTAATATACAAGCTCCTCTAAAGGGGAGGTCCCATCCTTACAAGTTAGTGTGGTATCTATTTGTTGATCATTAATTCTTGTTGCCTGCCTCCTTGGGCTTTATAGTCCCATGGTTCTTTTTTTTTAGATTTCTTTATTTATTTGACAGAAATAGAGAAAGAGATCACAAGTAGGCAGAGAGGCAGGCAAAGAGAGGGAGAAGCAGGCTCCCCGCTGAGCAGAGAGCCCGATGCAGGGCTCGATCCCAGGACCCTGGGATCATGACCTGAGCTGAAGGCAGACACTTAACGAACTGAGCCACCCAGGCAACCCCTAGAGTCCCATAGTTCTTCACAAAAGTTCATTGCAAGCTGTCAGTGAGTTATTTTTTATGACACCAAGTTTATATTCCAATATCTGGTGTGAATTCTCAGTGCTTCATGAAGATCACATTGTATCCTAATTTCTGATGGTCCCCATCTTGGTGGCAGGGAGATAGAGCATCATCTGGTACTTCCTTCAATGACACTCAAGCTAGGATTAGAAATGAGTTCTCTTCTTATTCTGAAGATAGTTGAGATTTCCCACTCTATAGCTACGTCTGTGCATTTCTTCCAATCAGACCCCCCACCATGATCCAGGGAGCATAATTTCTTAGATGTATACAAAGTCCTTCCAGAAGGTGGAGGTAGAGCTAACCTGCTATTTTGTGGATTCTTTCAATGCTTTTAAGGGAATCAGACCACCAGCTGTTAGGGGAGACATAAGAGGGATGTTTAGTGAGGGCTAGAAATATGGAACTAGAAATTCATTTTCCACTGGTGTCCCTAAAGCAAAGGAGAGAAATGTGAAGAGGACATAAGATTTCCTTAGCTTCAGGGGGAAAAACAAGTAGATTAAAATGAGATGACATGAGGGATGCAGTCCCCAGGCACTAAAGAACAAGCAATATATCCTATTTAAGATACTTCAGAATGCTTACTCCAGAGTCTGATCCAGAGACTCTACAATTGGAAATAATTGCAAACAATATTACAGCTGCACTGCAGTGATGTATTCCATATTTTAAGATGTATTATACTCTGGTATAACAAATTAGAATTTTTATTTTCAAGGAGAAGTAAGAAAGAAGGCAAAGTAATTCTCCTTTGACAGGGAAGGTGTAAAGGGTTTTAGTTGTCTTATCTCTGTAGTGGGTGATGCCTTAAATCCATTCCAGTATCTACTTCTTGATGTGGGAGAATTGATGAATGCCTTCTCTGAGAAGAAGGTTTGATTTGTGTGTTTTGTTTTGTTTTTGGTGAGTTTAAGCATTGGACAGAAATGAGCAAAAGTACCAAAAAGAAGTCAAACAGTCGAGAAAGGTCAGGAAAAAATATAAAGTGTTCTGCCCGAGTAACTTACTGACCTGAAGAAAAATCCACAAGGCTGCACCTTTCTCCAACTACCTACATACCCAAAGCACCAAGAGCACTGAGAGGCTAAGAAGGTATGTTAAATAAGTTCTATTTTTCTTGCAATAATATTTGTAAGTCATTAAGAGAAATATAAGCAGCAATAAATAATATGATTTGAAGGCCTTTTTAAATGCTAGGAATTCTCAGATCTCACTATTGTTTTCAGAAACTCCTAGGAATTGAAAACCTTTGTTAAGAATCTCTGGATTGATGACCGCAAAATCTCAGCAAGGGGGTTATGGGGAGGGTATATTTTCCAGGGGAGAGTAGAGATGGTAGCATGCAATTCGTAGCAGCAGGTGCAAAACAAGTGGTATTTTGTTAATAATGCAAATAATGAATGCAAGTTCTAAGAAAGACAATTGTCAGCTACTGCAACTAAATTTTCTCTCTAGGAGATATACAGTTTTTTTTTCTTTCTGTAACTAAATGTATTCTAGTATATTAATGAAGCCCTAATAATTATAATAGCAATTATTCTGTGTATTAGTGCTCACATTTGTTATTGATGGGGCCATTCTTAATAATCTCAAATGCTAAGAGAATGAGAGTTGCATTAGTTGGGTATAAATTAGATTCCATTAGGTTAATTCTGTAACTCTAAGAGAGTTACAGATCTTTTGTAGCTCCAATTTCTCATGTGCAAAATGAGGATTATAATACTGTCAGTCTCACAGGATTTAAATGAAATATTGCAGGAAAAGTACTTAACACAGTGCCTGCAGAGCACAGGGAATGTGCAAAATACTTTAGTACTTAATTCATCATTGCTTTTCTTTGTGTCTCTAGCGCGCACGCACACACACGTGCGCGCGCGCACACAGACGTGCGCGCGCGTGCGTAATATGTACTGCATTTCATTTATTTATTTTTCACTATTGCTGATAGGATAGTCCTCTCTCAGGGAAAGTTTCTGATTGAAGATGAGAGAAAAAGATCCATTTCTTCTTTTTATTTCCTTCTGGAGATGGTCTTCTTTGAAATTCAGACAACAAGATTATTCCAAGGAAGAGGACTGGGACTGTACATCTGTCCTATGAAACAGGGAGAGGGGCAATGCAGTATTGAGGAACCACCGTAATTTGGCCTCAAACCCAGGATTGTTCTAGTCCCAAATTCACCATTCTTGACTAATAGCCAAGAAAGCCCTACACTTCACTGACCTCATCTAACAAAAGATAATCTTATTAACACTTTTAGGGTAATAGCTGCTTATCTCCCGCACGGATTTGCCGCACAGCTAGGGTAAAATAATGCGTGCACTGATAGTTTGAAAGCATTACAGTACTGTATAACAATGGCAGGTTTGATCACTGGTGAGGATATGGAGTCCCTATCCCAGTGGAAACCCGCTGGAGCAGAGCATGGATAGGCACTACTGAGTATGGCAGTGTCTATGAGAATGGAATCAGTTTCTTGCCACTCTTCTCCCCAACTGGGCTCAATAGATCTATGATTTCCAGAATTAGCACAGAGTAACATTGGGTTACTTTGGTCCCATGTTTTGATTTTAGACAGTATCAGATAACTTCCTGTTGTGAATGTTAAAGGATTTAACACTTTGAGCTATGACTGGACAGCTAACCCAGGACAGTATTATCTATTGTTCAATAATCTGAGGTTGTGGAAGGGGTAGGGGATTGGGTTTGAAGTGGAGAAGAATTGCACTGGAGCTGTTTACTTGGAAGCTCTATGCTGGGTTTTCTTTTATCCTTCCCCTCCCCCTCCCTCCCTCCCTGACTTCCTTTCTTATTTTTGTCCTGTATTTGGCTTTTTTACACTTTGCATGGGGTGAATCTAATTTTCATTTAGATGACCTGGCAGTGAATTATTCCCAGTTCAGCCTCGTGACTGGGATATGCCATGTGCTGCTGCTGCTCTTTTCTGGGTCTGATGTGATCCTGAGAATCTGAGTGTTAAGTAGAGGTTCTCATTGCTGTGGCTTATTCTATTCCTTTTACCTCATTCCTGCAATCACATTCTCTAAATATTGGAGAGAATTATTCAACGTTCTCAATATTTAACCAACAATTTTTCCCCTCCTGTAGATGCTGATACTGGGAAATTACAGCAAGTTTGCAGTCGTGCTAGTTGCATGCAAATTTCCTCTGTTTCTTTCCTTGGAATAGCAATTTTTAAAGATTCCCCCCATCCCCAGAAGATTCAACTTTTTTCTTCTTGTTTGGTACTTTTGACTAATTTTACTAACTTTTGCTATTTTTTACTTATTCCATTAATACTGTGGAGGAACAGGCAGGCTTGAATTCATTTGCCATCTTTCTCCAGAATACACACACACACACACACATAAATATATATATATGTACATATATACCCACCCCCAAAGGGTATATATTAATATATCAACCAATATGGTAATATATATATCAACTAATGTATTTGTCATAAATAATGAAGTGAGATACATCTTAAAGATAAGTTCTTATAATTATCCAATAAATGATTAATGCTAGAAGTGCTCTTACTTAATGGATATATTAAGTCACATCTCAAGCTTATTAGTTAGTGGACAGTACACCTAGAACTTATCACAGTCTTTTGATATCTTTTAACTTGACATCATGTCCAAAACACTTGTAGAATTTCTATGTATATATGTCAATAAAAGATGTTTATGGCTCTATCATGGATTAATCTGACCAAATTGCCATGTTTCCCCTTCTTTCTTATTGCAGCTGAAATGATAAGATATATGAAGGAGGTCCAAGGCAGAAATAAAACAGAAGTGACAGAATTTATCCTCTTAGGACTCTCGGACAATTCAGATCTACAAATTGTCCTCTTTGGATTGTTTCTGTTAATCTATATGGTGACCATGGTGGGTAATTTGGGGATGATTGTGTTAATTAAGATTGATCCCTGTCTCCACACCCCCATGTACTTCTTTCTCAGCAGCCTGTCTTTTGTTGATGCCTCTTACTCTTCTTCCGTCACTCCTAAGATGCTGGTGAACCTTTTGGCTGAGAATAAAACCATTTCTTTTAACGGATGTGCTGCCCAGTTCTACTTCTTTGGCTCCTTCTTAGGGACTGAATGTTTTCTGTTGGCCATGATGGCATATGACCGCTATGCAGCCATTTGGAACCCTCTGCTATATTCAGTTCTCATGTCTGGGAAAATTTGCCTTTTGCTAGTAGCTACCTCTTTCCTACCAGGCTTTGGGAATGCAGCCATACACACAGGAATGACTTCCAGATCGTCCTTTTGTGGCTCTAACAAGATCAACCATTTCTACTGTGACACCCCACCCCTGCTCAAACTCTCTTGCTCTGACACTCGCATCAATGGCGTTGTGATCATGGCTTTCTCCAGTTTTAATGTCATCAGTTGTGTTATGATTGTTCTCATTTCCTACCTATGTATCCTTATTGCCATTTTGAGGATGCCTTCTTTAGAAGGCAGGCACAAAGCCTTCTCCACCTGTGCCTCCCACCTCATGGCTGTCACCATATTCTTTGGGACGATTCTTTTCATGTATTTGCGCCCTACATCTAGCTATTCAATGGAACAGGACAAGATTGTATCTGTCTTTTATACAGTGGTGATCTCTATGATAAACCCCCTCATCTACAGTTTGAAAAATAAGGATGTGAAAGGTGCCTTAAAGAAGATCTTACAGGGGCGCCTGGGTGGCTCTGTGGGTTAAAGCCTCTGCCTTCTGCTTGGGTCACGATCCCAGGGTCCTGGGATCAAGCCCCGCATCGGGCTCTCTGCTCAGCGGGGAGCCTGCTTCCTCCTCTCTCTCTGCCTGCCTCTCTGCCTGCTTATGATCTCTGTCTGTCAAATAAATAAATAAAATCTTTAAAAAAAAAGAAGATCTTACAGAAACACATACTGTAAAGCCATGTTACATATCATCCTGTTATGCAGAAGAAAATATGTTTTCATATTAATTTTATTGTCTGGTTGCTTAAGCTGTGTGTGTGTGTGTGTGTGTGTGTGTGTGTGTGTGTATGTATGTTAAAGTAGATTGCTTAAAATGGGGTATATTTCTAAATCTTCTGGTGTCTTCAATGTGTATCCATGGGCCTACCGGATGAATAAACATAATGGGAAAGTTGGTGCTTGGTAAAGTATCAAAATACTTGGTTTTGGCTGACCTGGTTTAAGTTATAATTTCAATATTTAGCTTTTCTTGAATAATATTGTCTTTGGGATCTGAGCAAACAGATTCTGAGACAGATGTCTGTATGCATGCAGGAAATGTAGTGGAGAACATTCCCAGGAATAATACCTAGAAGGCTAAAAGGGAATGAGGGGAGCAGGGCTGAGTAGATAGATATTGAACAGTGATGAAGTTGCATTTGAGTAGTCATCCCATTCCACTTGGAGCTCTGTGGCCAAGATGATCCTTCAGAGATACCCCAAATTGTGGAAAAAAATATCAGGTGTTTTAAAATGACAAGTTTTGGAAAAATATCAGGTGTTTTAAAATGACAAGTTTTGGAAATGGCTCACTCCCTTGGGCATGGTAATTCCTTTCAGCAGGGGCAATTCCCAGAGTGGAACTCAACTGTGAAGGGTCAGTTGCCATTGCACTCGGAAGTTGAGAAAATAAACGTTTCAGTACTGAAAGGCAAATCTGAGTGGTATGCCCCAGCATAAAATAATAACACTACTCTACTCACATGGATGTCAAGAATACCAAACAAGATATAAGAAGGAGCCTTATCAGGGGTTATAATATGGGTACCACAGCAATAATGTGTGTTTTACTGATTTTGTAAATTAACTGGACTATTATAATTGTAATATGTAATTGTACCTCATAATTGTAAATTATGAGGGTACTAGTCAATGTACTTTAAGTTTTAATCTTTCACGTAATTTTCAGAGTTTCACATAATTTTCAATAAACATTTACTGAAAATAAATTATCTATCTATTGCTCACTGTAGTGGAAGAGGGGGTTGTCAGTGTGGGAGGAATGGGAAAACCACGTTCTTCAGTGAGATGGCATGTCAAAGGAGGCCTGATGATTTGGAATCAGGTAAATGTCTACTCTCTCTATTCTTTCCATCCCTCTATCCACTGCAGACCTTGAGGAAGAACACCAGTGCTTCTCATGCTCCACATAAGAACACCTCTTCCCCCCATCAAATTGGTTAGAGACCACAAAGGATGTCTTAACTCATATTTTCCATTCTAAATATTTCCATCGCCTTTTAACTTCCACTTTCAACTTTTTTTTTTTTAAGTTTTTTCTTAAATATTATTTATTTATTTGAGAGAGATAGAGGTGGGGGGAGAGCAGTGAGAGGGAGGAACAAACGCTCCACTGAGCAGAAAGCCAGACCTGGGGCTCAATCCTAGGACCCTGTGATCATGACCTGAGTCAGAAACAGATGCTTAACTAACTGAACCATGCAGGCACAGCTCCACTTTCAACTGTTCGTTAAGGTTTCTCTCAAAGACATTCAAAATTGTATCATGCTTGATATCTTTCTTCATGTTTCTTTTTATTCTAACTCAGGCTATAGTATCTGTCCTTTTGCTGCTTCTTATTCACAAACCTAAGAAAGGTGGCAGTTGATCAATATTCATCACTAACTCATTGCCCAACTGAAATTCCGTGGTCCACAAAATAATGACTCATTCTAAATCACCTGCAATTCCATCGTTCTACTTTCTCTCCATTCTGCTCATCTGATTAAATTCCAACTTAGGGAAACTTAATTGTTTCTTTGTTCTGTCCTACACTGAAACTGCTTAGTGCAATTAGAGAAAACCTCTCAGCATGCCACTGTCTGTTGCTGATCTTGTGTCATACTTCTTCCTCCAAAATAAAAACAATTAAATAAGATTATCCCCATCTTACCATCTATAATCTTTATACACATACTTTGGTTCCCATTTATCATATGGATAATGTGTCCCTTGCTTCTTTCACACCTTCGCAGCTTTCCATGAATTTTAGTTCAGAAATCAGATATCTACTCTCCCCAAGCACCGGTTTCTCAAACTATTGTAGTGTTCTCATTTGTATATAAACATCATCTATATCACCCTTCTTAAAAATTTCTTTGGCTGAAAGTCCTGTCCAGTCATCGACCTATTTCTCTGCTCTATTTACAACGAATCTTTCAAAAGAACTACCTCTGATCTTTGTCCTTATTTCCTCAAATCCCATTACATGTTCTAGTTGTATTTCTGTGTCACTTCTCCATTGAACCCAATCTTGTCATGGACACATGACAGTTTAACATTATTGCCTCTAAAGATTGCTCTTCTACCATACTCATACTTGGTATCTCAAAAGGATTTCCCATGATTAATTCCTTCAACTATCCCCCAAAACACACATTTTAAGATTTCTATGTCACTTCAGTCTTCTGATGTTCCTTCTCCTTCTGCTGCCACTTTTCCCCAGGTAACTGTGATAGCTTTTCCTCCTCCTCCTCAGGCTATTCTCCAAATCTTGGAGCCAAAGGCTTAATCCTATATATTAGTTCATGGTACTTTGGTTCTCCATCTGTACCCACTTCTTAGATGATCTGAGAGATCTGCAGTGATTCTAAAATCCACATGTCTAACCCTGACTTCTTCCTTGGGTTCCAGATTCATACATTGAATTGACAACCTGGTATCTAGGAACTCTGGACACATGAAAGGATTACAAAATTAGCTTCCTCCACTTAGTTATCATACTCAAACATCTATTGAATGATCACACCTTTTGTACTATGAGGGCGGTCTGTATCTTAGCATCACACCTATGTGTTATTGACCTTAAAATATCCCTTTTCACGTTGTGTCATAAATCGTATCTTTTGCTATACCCTGTTCATGTTTAAAATAAGACAATAGACACCCTTTATATCTTTACCCATCATCCATTCAGAGATTATTCATAAATATACTAAACCCTGCATACATTTAATGTCTGTAATTGTTGCATTTGGACATACACATACTTCAATAAAACTGGTGAACTACTAATGGAAAAACTAGCATATAACCTGTACTGGAGATTTAGCAGGTAAAAAATTAAAATTTCTGATCTCCTGAAACTTCTTCCCATCTCCTTATATTTGAGTGAAGACTTTACTGTCTATACCAAATATGCTTGTGTGTGTATAGAGCTGTTAGATGTGTGTGTGTGTGTGTGTGTGTGTGTGTGTTTGGCATGGGTAGAGTGGTGTTTTGAAGAATAGTAACGTAGGCAATAGAGTAGGGAATGGTAGCATCAGACACAGGCTTTCTGTGGAAATGACCGTTGAGAAGGACTGACTAAAGATAATATCATCTGAATGTCTGTGGAAGTGCATTCCAGGTATAGTTATAGTAAATATAAAGGCCCTGAGGCAAGATCTTCCCTGGTTTGTTAAAAGAATAGTAAGGAGACAACATATATGTGGGTTGACATGAACAAATGAAAGAAGGAAAAGAATTGCAATCAAGGTGTTTGGGGAGGAGTGACTGATCAAATAAATCTGGTAGTTCATGAATAGGCTTTGGACTTTACTTTTCCCTATCATCCTGCAATAGCCATCCAACCCCAACTCCAGAATGCAAGCTGCATGAAGTAATAAACGAGATCAATGTTTTGGCTACTTGACCAGTACCAAGGATAGTTGTATGCTCCATAACACAGGTCTAGTAAATCATTTGTTGAATTAATCAGTTAATGCACTGAGAGCCATATTCTAGTAGAAATGAATAGGGATCACATTTTAATGGAATTCTGAAGTTTGGGAGCAGGATCTCATCAATCTCATACATTTAATTCAATGTTATGCTCAATGGAGTCTCAAGACCATGAAATAGTTTTTGTACTTCCCTAAATGCCTGTTACTCTCCAGGGTGTAAGTGACTCACTGGGGAGAAAATAGTTCAATTACCTCAGTGGAAAATAAATGCATGTTTTAATTTTGGATTAACACATTTCAAGCTTTAGATTTTTAGTGTTTTGCAGAGACAAAATCTCAAGAGGAGCATCACAGACTTAATAAGGCTGACTGTTTCAGATTCAGAAGCAGCATTTGCTACTCTTTGTTGAATTAATTAACCATGTCTTAATTCTGTCATACTTGGATCTCTTCTACCACTTCCATTTTCATTGCATTGTAAGACAGAAATCTTGTGTTCTTCCGAAAAGCAATAAAACAAAACTAAACTAATAACCACTACAGGTGAATATTAAGAACAAAGGTAAGAAGATTTAATTGATCTCAAAGTGTTCATATATAGAAAGTTTCCAAGAGGATTAAAAAAGTATGAAGTAATTAAAGATCTCCATTAGGATATGTCTGAAACACTAAATTTAAGGTTCCCAACTAAACTAATTTGGATTTTTGTCTTTATATGACATGGATTTAGGATCACTAATAACAAATGAGAATTTTATAGAATATTCAGCATATACAGACACATACATACATGAATGTATATATACATGTATATCTATGTGTGTATATATGTGTGTATATATATACACACACACGCATACATATACATAGACATATACACATATGTGTCTGTGTGCAAAACAGGGAAATTTAGTGAACTTTTTGTAGCAAGAATGTCATATATAATACAAGTACGTTTGTATATATATATATATGTATAAAGTTGAGCTCTACAAAATTTTAAAATTGGTTATTTTACAGGATAAGATTTTAGCTAATTTTGAAGATCGATCCATTAAGAAACTATTGCAGTAATCTAGGTGAAAGATAATGTTGGCTTGATTTTTAGTTGGAATGGAGGTGGTAGGACGTGGTCGATACAGATATTTTGAAGGTAGAGCCAACATAATTATCTGATAGACTGGTTATGTAGTGTGTAAGAAAGAGAAGAGATCAAATTCTTCAATATTTATCTATTTATTTAATTTCATCTGGGCAAATGAAAGTATAGAGTTGTAATTAACTTGATATAAGGAATGCTGTGTTTGGTGCAAATTAGGATCATGCATGAGGAATTCAGCTTTGGGTCATGCTGAACTGTTGTTTGATATTAATATGAAGATGTGAGTAAGCGGTTGAATTTTAAGTCTGGAATTTGTAGAAAAGGTCAGGGCTGGAGATATAAATTTAGGAGTTTTAGGTATATAGATGGTAATTAAATTTACAAAATCAAATAATCACCAAGGTAGAGTGTAAAGAGGAAAGGAGAAAGATTAAGGACTGAGCTACTCTAACCTTAACAGTCAGAGAGAAGAGGAGGAGTAAGCAGAGACTGAGAAGGAGGGACCCACATGGTAGGAGGAAAACTCAGAGTCTGGTTTCTTGGAAGATAAGAAAAGAAAATCTTTCAAGGAATAGTTAAGAAATCAACTCTGTCAAATGTTATTGATAGATCAAAAAGATGGGGAATGAGAACTGACCACGGGATTTGGCAATGTAAAGATTCCTGATGCCTTAGACAAGAGACATTTTGTGGAACGACAGGTTGCAAACCTGATCAGAGTGGCCTTGAGAGAAAACAGGCAGAGCAGAACTGCATACAACAAGAGTATTCAACTGTATTGTATATTTAATTGCCAAGATGGGTGCGAGGAATTGGATCGTAGTACGTGAAGGCAGTAGGACAAAGGGAGGAGGAGAGAAAAGTTGGGAGGTCAGATAGGATATAGACAAATAGGGTCAATCATCAAAGACTTCACACCCATATACACACACACACACATATATTAATTTTAAATAAAATGGGTTACTGAGTTTGCTTAAGGAATTTCTTTCCGCTGCCATAAGAAAATAAAGAGCTTTAATACACATATTCTCAGGGCATTCAAAGAGCTAATCTTACTTATAGGAGATGAAACTATTTTACTTTCCTGGTATTTTTTTCTTTGTCCAATTTATTCCTTTGGTTTCTTTCTTATCCTAGCAAAAGAATCATCCATTCTGAGACAAAGATATGAACAACCATACAACAGTGACTGAATTTATTCTTGTGGGATTTGGGGATCATCCAGAACTACAGTGCCTTCTTTTTATGGTGTTTCTAGTCATCTATATGATCACCGTGTTTGGAAATCTTGGCATGATCCTGTTAATCAAGATTGACTCACGCCTCCACACTCCAATGTACTTTTTCCTCAGTAACTTGTCCCTTGTTGACTTCTGTTATTCTTCCATCATTACCCCTAACATGCTAGTGAATTTCTGGGTGGAGAACCCAGTCATTTCATTTAGCGGCTGTGCCACTCAATTATTCTTTTTTGGTTCCTTTGCTGGCATTGAGGGCTTCCTGTTGGCTGTGATGGCCTATGACCGTTATGTGGCCATCTGCAAGCCTCTTCTTTACACCGTTACTATGTCCCCTCATCTTAATGTCCTTCTGGTGTTGGTCACATATCTTGCAGGCTTTCTGAATGCTGCCATTCACACTGGCTTCACCTTTCAGTTGTCTTTCTGCCACTCAAATGTCATCAACCACTTTTTCTGTGACACTCCGCCCCTCCTGAAACTCTCTTGTTCCGATACACATGTTAATGAAGTAGTCATTTTTGCTTTTGCCAGTGTTAATGAACTGAGCTGCCTCCTGATTATTCTCATTTCTTATCTGTACATTCTTGTTGCCATCTTGAGGATCCATTCTGCTGAAGGAAGGCACAAAGCCTTCTCCACCTGTGCTTCACACCTGATGGTGATCACTATCTTCTTTGGCACAATTCTGTTCATGTATCTGCGCCCCAGCACCAGCTATGCAATGGACCAAGACAAAGTGGTATCCGTGTTTTATACAGTGATTATCCGCATGTTAAATCCTCTCATCTATAGTCTGAGAAACAAGGAGGTCAAAACTTCCTTAGGTAAAATTTTTAAAACAAACTCTTTTTACTTCTGTGCTTAGAATTAGGAAAAGAATGAGATTTTAGGACTCTGGGGGAAACATAGAAATGACCAAATCCACCTCCATTCACCCTGGGTCTATTTCACTGCATCATGAGTTTTGTTATTGTTGTTTTTGATAGTGGAGATGGACCAAGCATCTTGGCATCCTGGGGAATGTGGTGACTCTGTGTAAATCCCACTAATTCCACAAAACATATATGCTTGAAAATAATCAAAGATCATATTTTAACTCCCTGTTCAGAGGCATAAGACACAGTATAAAAAGTGGATGAGAATACAGGAGGAAAGACTCCATCTTTTTCCCCATTTGATGGCTTCATGATTGAATTGTGGTATATGTAAACTGCTAGAGGACAGGTGATAAGGAGTAGGCTGACCCAGAGGACTCAAATAGGGCTTAGAGACTGCTTCTTATCCTCAGTGAACCAGGAAAAAAAAATCAGAACTTAATCCTGACAGAGGTGCTGAAGTTAAGCATTTCTTCTTTCTTTCTTTCTCTTTTTCTTTCTTTCTCTTTTTCTTTCTTTCTTTCTTTCTTTCTTTCTTTCTTTCTTTCTTTCTTTCTTTTTCTTTTTCTCTCTTTCTTATTTAGATTTATTTATTTTGAGAAAGAGAGAGAGAGAGAATGAGCAGGAGGGACAGAGAGAGAAGAAGAGAGAATCTCAAGCAGACTCCATGCTGAGCATAGAGCCAACATGGGGCTCAATTTCATGACCCTAAGATCATGACCTGAGTTGAAACCAAGAGTGGGACACTTAACTGACTGCACCACCTAGGTGCCCCCCATGTCAAGCATTTCTAACCTGGACAAGTAATCTGGATCCCTGAGGAAACAAGTGATAAGGGAAATATGAGCAGGGATCATAGAACAAGAACACCAAGGATCTGTATAGCAGAGGTTTCTGAACTTAGAAAAGAGGTATACCTTATAAATCCTGTAGTTAAAGTGTCATGTTGTTTGATTTTTGAATGGGTAAACAGTTTAAGCTTAAAGAGCTAGAGCAAGATAGATAGACTTTGCCTAGTGCCTTAGCAAACAATCATACATATCTGTTTTAACACTGGCAGCAATTTCATTGGGATATATTTAAAGCTTTCAGTTGGTTTGACTGGTATTTTCTTCATTGGGATATCTCCAAAGTAGGACTGGATTTTCTTTATAGTGATGACTGACATGTAAACAGGAAGTGTTTCAAACTGTTTGGAACTGGGTAAAGTATACTAAGTGTGACCCTGTTGTACCAATTTGCTGTGGAAAGACTGTGATCACAATAGAAAAGTGGGCACTTAAGACGAAAAAATAATTTTTGCTTTCATTACAGCATAGAGTTTTTGATAAGAAACTGAATCCAAATCTTATCCTTTTATCTCCCTTTATTCTTTATTTCAGACATTGCATAACAAAAACACATTTTCTATCTCATCATTCTTTTTCTGGAGAGCTCTTCATAGTTCAAGACACAGCACAAATATTACCTCCTTTACGATTGCCCTGACCCTCTGTCATCCTTCCCAAGGTAGACACTTACCATGCCCATTCTTGTGATTCTATAGATATTGCAGCTCTAATCAAGCTCTAATCAAGTGGTTAAAGAAATAAATTGTAAAAATACAGTGTAATATATAGAGACTAGGGGCACCTGGGTGGCTCAGTAGGTTAAGTGGCTGACTCCTGGTTTTAGCTCAAGTTGTGATCTCAGGACCGTGAGATTGAACCCGATACCAGCCTCCACGCTTATTGGGGAGTTTGCTTAAAGATTCTCTCTCTCTCTCTCTCTCTCTGTCTCTCCCTTTGTCCCTGTTCTTGCTCACTCTCACTCTCAAATAAATAAATAATTCTTAAAAAAAGACACATAGACTAAGAGGTCCTTAAGAAGCAAAAGCTCTTTATATCAACTTACACATCTCCATGCCTTTATAAGCAGGCCATCAGGAAAAGTTTAAAAAATTAAGAAGGAGATCATTCCAACTGAAGACACAGGGTGATGGAAGACAAAATGTCTTCTGGCATCTGGAACTAAAAGTTGTCTAGAACCACCATTTTAGGAAGTCAGTGTTAGAAAAGTTCCCTTGTAGCTGGTTGGATGAAGTATTGGATATCGTTTCATTCTTTTTGAAACAAATTGTCTTGTCTTCTTTGAATTTAAACATTTTAATAAGCATGATATTTCAGCATCCTACATCTTTCATATTATGTAAAGTAAATGTGATTTCAGTACAGCAATAGAGCACTCAGGACTTTTTCAATGGAGGAACACAAAGCTAATTCAAACTAACCCAGGCCTAGAGTTCTCAGTGCCATGAGGTCTCCGAGTTTTTTTCTATCTCTCCTTCTGTCTTTCTGTCTTTTGTTTCCTCTGTCATACTAGGAATTCACTCATTGTCTTGCACAGACTTTTCACATGGTGGCCTCAATTTTACATACTTTCAAGACAATTGCATTACAGGCAAGGCTGTATCTCTTTAGAAAGGACAGTATTGCCTGAAATGGCTCAGATACTCATCATGTGTATAGCAAGCTGGGTATGTATGTATTTGTGTACATGTATGTATGTTGGAAGTAAGGGTGGAGTTATGAACTATCAGAAGAAATCTTGCTTTATAATAGCTAGTGCAATCCACTGTACATTTATTCAGTATAATTAAATTCCTTGCCTACTTACTGCTCATTTATGGACTCCTAGTTTAGGAATTGGCACTTTATGCTGCTTACATCTCAACAGGAATGTTAAAACTAGTGTTAACTTTAATAGTAGATGGGTCAGATGTTTTCCCATGTGATGCCTTTTGTGGATTCCTACATATTTTCTACCGTGCCTATCACAGCACATAGAAGTCTGCTTGTAGAAAAATACAAGTATGTGCAATGTTTTTAAAAGTACACTGGGTTGCAATGATGAGTAATATTATTATATTGAAAATGATTGATTTGAGCTTACTTTTCACATAATGAAATGATCAGGGTCCCCTCAACTAAGAGTATTAAAGTTACTACATTTTGGCTTACTTAGCCTGCTGACCACTACTTATTCTAATATATTTAAAAACAAATCCCAGAAGTCAGAAGCTTCTTAGTATGTTTGTGATACTTACACATGAATGTTTGGATTAGACTAGCAGCCAGGCTCTCCTTATGGGGTAGAGGATCAGGAAAAAAAAAAAAAAAAAAAACAGTAACAAAAAACAAACAAACAAACAAACAAAAAACAGGTCACAAGGCAGTACAGACACAGCACCTTTAGGGCAAAACTTTTAAAATGCAGCTTTTGCTCCTTTGGTTTTTCTATAGTTTCTAGATTTGAGGGTTTTATCTTTCCCTTTTCTGCTTTTGTCAGATTGTATATAAACATATCAACATCCTCCTTTACTATACTGATCATTCAGTGTACTTGATTTTCTAAGAATATGCAATTTGTGATGATGGGATTTCAAAAAGTAAATGGTCCCAGCAGGCCTGGTAAAAACTCTTTGGCCCCTATTGCATAGAGAAAGCCCAAAAGTGGTTGCCTTGACAACCTCTATTCACTACTGAGAATTCTTCATTTAACCACTCTCTTTTTTTTTTTTTTTTTAAGATTTTATTTATTTATTTGACAGACAGAGATCACAAATAGCCGGAGAGGCAGACAGAGAGAGAGAGTAGGAAGCAGGCGCCCCGCTGAGCAGAGAGCCCGATGCGGGGCTTGATCCCAGGACTTGATCCCAGGACCCTGAGATCA